GTTTAGGTCGAGATATTTTTGCACGTTTAGTTGATACAAGTGACATTGGGGATTTTGACTTGAGTGATTTTTTTAGTGGCAATATTTTTGTCATTACAACTTCTCTGACATCAGAGACAGCACTTTTTAAGTTGTCTGATGGAGAGAACTGCTGAAGTTCATTACTGCTAGTATTAGTATAAAGAAGAAATAGTGCTAGATGATCATACCAAAATTCTAAAAGATTTTTTAGCATTCGTTCAAAAAATATTTTATCAAACAAAATACTCTCTAAGTAGTGGCCATGATGTGTAAAAACAAAGTACCATGCATGTAAAATGTTCAGAACTCCTAATTGACCCTGGATTTGAAAATAATGATCATGAGTCTTTTTTAAACAAACTTTTCCTTCTACATTTATATGCAATGAATTGTAGTTTAAAACGGTTGGTATAGTGTCTCTAATAATGTAAGGGCATTTTATCTCAACGCATCCAATACCGCAACAGCATTCAACAATAAGATCAGGAGAAGCTGAAATGAATTGAAACTTTTTATAAATTTGCATGCCTGAATCATAAAACTTTATATTTTTGTGACCATTTTCTTTTAGAATTTTACCACTGCTCTTTTAGCATGAGCTTCTGTTGCAATACCATGTCTTGTTGCAAATGTTTCAAACTTGTTTATTTTAGTTATAGTTTTTAACAAAGCAGCAGAATCATGTTTACTTTCAATTCGGGTAAAAACTGATTTAAATTTAGAAGCAGTAATCCTGCCCTGGCGTTGGTTAAACCATATGCTTGATGAAGATTGCATTCGAGTTGCTTCTTCAATACTTTTAATCTGCATATCATTCAATGCTAAACTTTCTGTAAAACAATTTACATTTTCAGTCAATGATAAGTTGCTGTCAATCTTAAAATTATTCGCTGATTCAACCACACCTAATGGTAGGTTAACTTTAGATTTTTCCACTTTTTTGGATTTACCATTGTACAATTCAACAAAACAGCTATTGTGGGAAACATCTTTCAGGGATTTGTACAAATAGTCTCGAAACTGGTTTTTGTTACTTAGAAGTTGTTTTTGTTCGACTGTACAAAAAACATATTCTTTTAATGATTTATTGGATTCTTCTATTTTTATTTCTGTAGGTTTATTTCCTTTTTTGTAATGATGTTTGTTAAATACAACATCGCAAAGTGGTTTGTGTGTTAAAACAGTTTTAATACCACTTGGAACCTTCCATTTTGCAAAAACACTAGTACATGACGGTTTCGTTGCCCCTGTACACACTGCAGCTTCAACTCGAAATAGCATTGCAATTACATGGTTGCAACAACCAAGAAGACCTGCAATACAAGTACAATATGCTGAATTGATTTCTCCTCCAGGTCTTTCATTATCTTTTTTAACTGCTGCCCAAACATGATAAGGTGTACTAGATGTACGCTGTGATGGTGTTACACGGGATTTGAGGAAACAAAAATCAGATTCTTCAGTTATTTCATGAAAATATATCTCTTTGACAAACTTGCATTTGTAGTAGCGGTAAGCTTTGCCTTCTTTATAGTCTGAATCTAAACGATTCATTAGCTCATATGGCTGCTCAAGTTTTCGTAAATATTTTTCTATATCAGTGTAGTAAATGGAAGGCCACTTGTATAACCCGCTCCCACTTTCAGAAAGCCAATTTTTCTTTAGTGAAAATGGGTCTGGAATCACACAGCCACGTAAAATGAGTTTTGACTTGTACTCGCATACTAGAAGCCTTTGGCGATCTTCACTTTCATTATCAATAGGTGTTTCATTTTCAATGGCAGAAAACACTCTAATAAAAGTTTAAAAATTTTTTATGTATAAATTAAAATATATGAATCATATATAATACATACATATGTTGTATAAATGTACATACATGGATATGTATATATTAGTAAAAGACAATTATGAACAAACTAAAAGTAAAAAATATAGTATAAAATTACAATTTATGAATATGTAGTACATGCATATATGAATCATATTATGATGCATCATATATTATGATACATATGTCATATATGTATAAATAAATGCATATATTATATGGATTTATGCATGTATTATATATTCATACATTGTATGTATTTATGTATGTTGGATGTAGGCCCGTATATATATATGTTATTTTTACGTTTTTTTCTTACCTGAAAACCAAAGTTTCAAAATCACCATCAACATCTTTATTCCTCAATATTAAATACTCTTTAAGAGCTTTTTCACTCCACGTACGAATTCGTTCTAAGTTTATTTTATCCATGATCAAAAAAATTCTAAAACAGAAACTTATAAAAATCTAAACTTTGAATCATCTCATATAAAGCTAAATAAATATCTATATTATTAGAAAACTCACGTAAACAACTGTTTCTTTCAAGGATGCTTTCTTAATTTATCTGTTAATTTACTTCCTTTCATGCGATTCTGCGCACAATGAACAATAACAAACTATTTAAAAATGCGCGCGCACGAAATTATCGGAACTGTGAAGAGGTGTATTACTATATGTTTGAGACATGCAGCATAATAAAGTATATACTTCGGAAAACCTTGTTTTGCAGTGTAATTATTTTAAAGAAAAGTTTATGTTTTCTACATAATTGCAATTATATTAAATACAAAATAACAAACCTTTCAAATTATTTCCAATGGAGAATTTTGAGTAGTTTTAGCAATATGTAAGATTATTTTTAGTAGCATGTTGGTATGTTTAGATATAGCTATCTGAAAGCCTATTTCAGTATTCTTCGTATTGGAATAAACTGAAGCAGGCAATCAGTTAACAAAAAATCTAGCTCAAAATAATGTAAGTTCTCAAAGAAAATCTAACTATTATTAAACTATTTGAATAAAATAAAGATAAAACAACTATAGTGCAAACAAGACTCTTAACCATAACAAAAATGAAGTTTTTATACTTGAGCCGTAAAAATACTGTCTTCTTAATTTTTTACGAAAAATGCAACAAATCAGGCCGTGTAGTTTAAGTAGGCCATGCTGCGCCTAATAGTAGATACGTGGATTGATTTTTTTTGAATTGATCAAAAACTAGGTTGTTGTAGGTACGTGTGTAAAAATTTCGGGGCCTTTATTTATATAACTATTATATATGGTTCGAAAGAGCTTGAATTTATATTGAAATCGTGAGAATTTTATGAAAAACGAATAATTAAAAAAAATCGTTATGCCCATTTAAGTAACATTATTTGTTATGAAGGGTTGCTTAAGAAAAATGCAACCAACGTTTAAAAGTAGCGTTCGTCTAACGGTATTTTTGTGATAAAACTTCATTGTTAATTTGCGCATGATTTTGTTAGTGAAATGACCAAAATGATTTAATAACGTTATTAAAAAAGTTTTGAATTAAAATAACAAAAAAAATTATAATGATTAAAACCTAATAACAAAATTTAAAAAAATACACTGAGCTATGGTGGAAGCTCAACAAATTATTATTTATTTTGCTTACTAGTATCTGATTTCGGTTGCGTTGCTATAAAAACTTCGAAAAAATAAAATGTTAAAAAAGGAAATAGGCTTGATATATATTTTTTTATCTAAATATGATATTTTAAAAACATATATATGCTCTACACGTACATATATGCTCTATAGAGTATTGTATATTGTATACTATAGACTGTAGTATGTAATATATATGGTCTTATAAAAAATGAAATAAGCAAAAAGCTAGTTATTGGTAATTAACTAACTTAACCAATAACCTCTACGTTCTTCCCTTTCATCCACTAAAATGGATACATTTTAGTTTTTTCTAAATTAAATATATATATATATATTTCATCTTCGCTTTTAAAAGGCTGCAAGCAACCACTATAAGAGTTGGAAGTTACTGGAAAAGAAAAGATGAGCAAGATAACGAAGAGGACTTAAAAGATTGCAAATATATATATACATATACTTATTTATATATATATATATATATATATATATATATATATATATATATATATATATATATATATATATATATATACTATATTTACACAGGCCCCAGAGGGAGTAAATGAACGCGAGAGCGGAGAAAATCTCCTAAAACGAACATGGTGAGCCATGCGAGCTGCTCCTCTAAACTGCTTTTTACGAGAGCTTTTGGTTTTTGCACAAGCTATCTGTTTATTTATATAAAAATTGCTTAATAAATACAAAATTTGTTTTTTATATGTGTTACAAGCATATGTTTGTTACAATAATGAAAAACCATGCCTGTTTATTATCCAACGAATTAAATTTTTTTTGACTTTAGTTTACTTTAGTTTAGGTTTTTCTTTAAGTTACAATGATAAACTCTTTAGAGAAAAAAATATACTTTAGCGAGAGCTGTAAATTGCTCTCGTAAATCATTTTAGGGGAGTGTGGGCAAGAGCTAAAGCTCTCGCTTCCGCCGAGACCTGTATACATAATATGTATTATTTTACAGTTATTGCATTTAGATAAAAATGTAGTTGCGTATTTAAAAAAGATTAACCAGTTATAACTAATTGAGTACTATAAACAGTTAAAAAACTAGTAAGAATAAGAAACAATAACGATCTTTTAGGACCTTTTTTACCATTCCGAGCAAAAAGATTACAACTTTGGGCTAACTCATTTGTCATTAGCTTTGCCATCATTCGACCAGTAGCCTCTACAAGATTTCGGCCTCCTTGATCATCTAACCATACAACCTGTTAAAAGCAATGTGTGTAATGGTTAAAACAGAAATTTAAAAAGTTGGAAGTTTTTAATGTTCCTTGTAGACAGATCATACAATAAAATATACAACACAGTTAAAATTCTATATACCACTGTTTTAAAAATATCAAAATCTTTCAGCTTATCCTCAAACTCTTCCACAGCTTTACACACTTTAAAGGTAACAAAAGAGTGACATCTTCAGGCAACTGTGAAGCCTGATAGTTGATGCTGTTGTGTCTTAATAGACTATTAAGTATTGCAGTGTGATTTTCTTGTACGGTTTTCATTTCTTGTTGACATCTTAAAATTTCTTTAAAAACTGACAATGTAGTATCATTTTTTGTAACTGTTGCTTGAATATAACAATATAGTGTTTTAATTTTAAAATAATGTTAAAAAAAATAATAAAAAAATGGTCAAAAAAAAACAAGTTATTTATGAAAAATCTTAATGTCTTTTTTATTTTTATTCATACTAAGTTCCTCGCATAAAATGGTACATACCAATATTACAGTCATTAGATATGGTAGATGTACTACATAATAATTGTTCTGCAATAAAAAAATAAGATTAGTTATAAAAAAGAAAGTTAATTCAGAATTACAAAAAAAAGGTCAAATGAACAAAAAAATAGAAAAATATTTTGTGTAATGTGATAAATGACAATAATTAGTGTAATGTGAGTAATATTGTCACAATAACTTATGCAATGTGAATTCACACAAATAAAATATAACACAATTTCATATACAAAGAGTTAGTTAAGAAATGATCACCTTCTCTCAGCTGTGATGACTTTTCATGATGTTGGGATGAGTTAAATGAGCAACTACTACTGCTTGTCTTTTGAAGCAATGGAGATGGCAATATTTGAAAAGAAACTAAAGATAATACACACACACATACATACATACATACACACACACACATACACACAAAGCCATATATATATATATATATATATATATATATATATATATATATATATATATATATATATATATATATATATATATATATATATATATATATATATATTCATGCCTTGGATTATATTAACTTATAAAACTCGCCATCTGGGGAATATGAGTTGTTAGAAACTCGTAGTTGTCCCAAGTTTCTATTCATCATTGAGGTAATATGTAGCACTTGAGGTGAAGTTGGAGGTAAATTTGTAACAGATAAAGCACCTGCATAAAATAACATTACAGTTTAAGATTGATTATTTTTGTAATTTCTAAAATAAATTAAAAAAAAATATGTTAGATTATCAATGTATGCTAGAAACCGCTAGATTTTATGTGTTACTGAAACCTATTTATGTCATGAAACTGTTTATTATTTAAAAGATTCGTCTAATAAAAAAAAAAGAACAATTTTATAAATAAAAAGATGTGGTATCTTTCTGTAGTTGAATGCTCAACTATAGAAAGACGACACAACCTTCATGTTATGTAAGTTTAAATACAGAATAAACTCTCAAACTGTTCAGTTAACTAATTTTCGTGAACAGTTTTCAGTTATTTTACTGTACTGTGTGATGATTTTTGTAAATATAGAATATTTAAAAAATATTTTAAACACCCACTTTTCTATTTTCACAGTAAATTTAATAACACATCATAAAACCTTGATGTTTTATGGCACACAGTGTTAATGGTTACAGAGTTTAATTTTTATTGTTCTTCAAAATACATCATGTTAACTTGTAATTGTAAACACAATTTCTGATTAAAATTTAAAATCACTCTTAAATGTCTATATGTCTGATCAAACTTTTTTTAACTTGTGATGATTTAATACTGCGTTCGGCAGTAAGGCAACTTGAAACATTGTTATGACGGACATCACTGAAATCTTCACTATCCGAATCAAATTGAAAGTATTGTGTTGTTGATAATCTGACATAAAAAGTAAATATATAATATATAAAAAAAATAAGAAACTTCAAAAAATAAGAAATTTTTTAAGTTTCTCCTTCAGCATTTAGTATATTTGCATTTTCATTTATTATTCATTTTAAAATTTAACATTCAGAGTTTTCCATTTTTAAATGAAAATTACATGGGGTACCCTTCCCAAGTTAACCTATTTTACAGAACATGACTGAGTATTTTTATTGTGACACTACCACTTGGAACATTACTATCTTATGAATTTGAGCTTTTGAGTTTCCCTGCTCCTACTCTCGAGTCTGTAATAAAAAAAGGGGGTGGGGCATTTATTAATTTTTGAAAAATTTTCCCACTCACACCATGCTTATTTAGACCCCTCGTTTATCAATTTTTACTTGATATTAAAAAATGAATAAAAACCAGTGAAAATCGGCCTAAAAAATTAAAAAATAGTTATTTCTGTCACTGACAAAAAAAAAATTCAGTGTAAACAAGCTTTAAAATCCACAGACTAAGTAAATCTCAATTTATCTAAAATGAGCTTTTAATTTATTTCTCACTAAAGTATAAAACTTATATCAAAATATTAAACCATATTGAAATTAAGATAGTATTAGTATAAGTTTAGATTTGTAAAGTGAAATTTTTTATAAAAAATTCTTATATTGTAACATAAAAAAAATTCCCACCCATCAACTTTTATTAAACCCCCGACCCCTACCACCCACCCATTCTTGTATTAAGGACTCGAGAGTTTCCTTTTGTTGAATTAAAAATTAAAAGCACCTTAATTACTTAAGATATTACCTTTTCCTTTTTAGCACACCAGTTGCCTTTTCTTTGTTTTCACTTTCTGTAATATTCAAATCAGATGTGTTTTCTGAAAGCCTTAACTTCTCTCGTGCTCTTTCATAAGTAGCTAAAGTGTAAAATAACATTTTTTTAAGTAAATGTTTTATATGGTGTTAAATGTCATGTTGAAATATTACCATTACATGCCTTTCCTAATGTTCGAACATTACACTTTTTCCATGCTGGATTAGGATTTGCTATTTGGCTAACCAGCTTTGATACTTTTGAAAGTGGCAAAAACTCAGGCCAAAAACATTAATCTTCCTCTTCTGTGCAGAACCATTTAACTGGTATAATTTCACTGACTTAGTTGCTAAATTCAACTATTGCATACATAATCTAAATAAAGAACATATTTTATCAATATAGCAGGCCTTGGCAGGAAGCGAGAGCTTTAGCTCTCGCCCTCACTCCCCTGAAACAGTTTATAAGAGCTATTCACGGCTCTCGCTAAAGTATAATTTTTCTCATAAAAGTATAATTATATTAATTATATATTATAAATATCATTTTAAATTAAATAAAAAACGCTGTCATTTTAAAAAAATTAATTGCATAATATACTGAAATGCTTTTTAAAAGACAATAATGTTACAAAAAAAAAATTAGAATTAAAAAAGAGTGCTGATATAAATGAGGAGCAGCTTGCACAGCTCCCCAAGTTCATTTCAGGAGAGCTTTTCTCCGCTTTTGTACTCATTTATTCTTGCTGAGGCCTAATATAGGATTTTCAGCACTTAGTCAAAAATTGCAATAACCATAATAAAAATAATACGGCTAATGCAATAACAATTATTTAACAAAATAAACACTATTATTATATATGTAATGGAATCACAATGTACAGAAAATAGTGTAAAGTAACCATGTTTAAAAAATTTATTTTACATCTTGTTTTATTGTATTGCTTTATTGTATTTATAAGATTTGTTCACTACATGAAAATTCATCAGCGATATTTACATTTATTAACTTTTATTTAACAATTTTTTAACTTTTTTTTTTTTGGTAACTTGTTTTGTAATTAATGGCTAAATAAAAAAAGTGGCCACTTTTTTTATTTTGCCATTAATTACAAAACACTCTTAGATTGATACGTAAAAAAAAATTATTCTACTTAACATGCAATGACTCTACTTAACATGGAATTATAATAAAATACTAATATTTTTCAAACAAGCATAAACTAAAAACAAAAATAAAAATAAAAAGCTCTTTATTGGCAAAGAAGTGGCATTAATACAAAGTCCCTTTTTAGTGGCATTATAACAAATTTGCGACGAAGCTCTAAAATGCTAATACTTTTTAAATTTCCTGTCAAATTTTTAGCCAGGTATATTTCTAACTGAGTGGATTTTATAGGGTATTCAAAACGACTCCAACTCTTAAAATGTGTCATACACAACAATTGCTTCATTATGAAAAAAAAAAATTAGTTTTAAAGTAGAAATTAGAGATTAATATAAGAAATTAAAAGTTATTATAAAATTACAAAAATATGTTTAATAACCAAGTAAAATTTTTTAACGCAGTAAATATTTAGCTATTGCAAAATTGTTGCAGTAATCATTATTATACAAATATATAATATCATTATAGATTATTAAGAGCTTCTTTTTTCTCGATAAACACACTTGACGGAATATTCCGTTATCTATACAATGGAATATTCCGTCAAATTAGTTAAATGGGCTGTCCCAAATGGGACCCATATGGAGCCCGTGTCTTGTAATCCATGCCCATATGCCCAGGTTAAAAACCGCGTGGGGCCCATATGGACATGTTGGGCAATACTGGTTGGGCATGCAAATACATGTTGGGCAATACTATGGTTGGGCAATACTGTGTGTTCTGCAATCATAAGATTCAATGATGGTATTAATTGTATTGATAATGTTTAGATTGTTTTAGTTTTCCATGTTCTTTTGAAAAAAAAATGCATTAAAGAGTGGCCATTATAGAGCTTTAATTCATTGTAAATAGTCATCGCTTATTTTAAAAACAATGAAAAGTAAAGAAGTCTAAGATAAGAGTTTATATTTTAAAAAAAAAGACATTAAAGAATGCGAACCTTATAATTTTGGATCTCTTGAGTTAGTTTTGTTTTGCTTTATGTTAATAAATTTTATCTGATTTTTAAAACTGTTTTTTCACAGAGCGTGATTTTTGTTGTTTTGATTATACCATTTACATAATATTATCACAAATACTTTATGAAACTTTTAAAATTTTCCACAAATATTCGTTACTAATATAGTTACAAAATGACTCTCATTGAAGAGTTTCTCTTATTCAAATTTGTACTTATGAAGTTTTGAGTAGTCGAGTGAAACTATGAATTTCACCAATTCTTATGAGAATGACTATATTTTTTCAAGTTTTGAAAGTTTGAACGTGAAAGTGGCAAAGATTGTAGTTTACATTTTTGTAAAACAACTGTGCAAATTTCTGAGTTTAACAGTTACCCTTTGATAAATAATCGTGTAAACGGTTTAGCCTCTGTTTGGGACCAAAACGAGCTTTTTATTAGGATTGAAAAAAAAAAAAAAGTTTTTTTCATTTTGTTTTTATTTGACCTATATTTGTAATTTATGTTAACTTTATTTGTAATTAATGTGTTTTAAGAAACAAGTTGTCTAATTGTATAGAGTTACCTTAAACATAAAACACAGTACATTAATAATATTAAGTTGATTATATTTAGAATATTCATTTCAGTTCAAAGAGGCTTAGTGTCGTGAAAACGATGTTAAAAACTAATCAGTCGTGCAATATTATTAAGAGTTAAGTTGCAAAACCTAAATTTAGAAAATGTACAACCTTTGGTTTATTATTTAGAATACGTGACGACAGAGTTGTTAAAATCGTCAAGTAGCAATTAATTTCAAATAACAGGAAATCAAATCTGAACTGTTATGAGTCATTAAATTCTGTTAGTTTCAACAATATGTCAATTAATAGTAAATTCTCTTCCAAATATAACTCGGTTTATCAAAAAAGTTCAAAATTAAAAAATAAGTCAACAAAACATAGCTAACAAACAATTTCATTTTAATAACAATAGCAGCTTTTCTTTACAAAAAAAATTAAATAAAAAATTTTCTTTCCGTCTTTTCAACGCAAGAAGCCTTGCCAATAAACGTCATGAATTTCATTTATATGTCGAGGCAACAAAACCTGCTGTAATTTGCGTGTGTGAGACATTTTTTAATAATAAACTTTCTAAGGCTATTTTATGCCCAAAAAATTACTCAATTTAACGCAAAGACCGTATTAAATTGGCGGAGACGTCGCAATTTACTTTACAAATGACATTAAAGTAGAACAAGTACAGATTAAGCAAACAAGTACTGATATTGATATCCTCTGTGTTAATATGATTTTTGGACTTCAGATTCTCTGTTGAATAATTTGCTATCGTCAACCTTTTTATACGATAACAGATGTTGCTAATCTTGAATTTATGATTTCAATTATTTATAATTTATGTTATTCGGTGTCGCAGATTATTTTTGGTGACTTCAACTTACCTAAAATATATTGACCAAGCTATGCTTTACGAAACAAAAAGTGCATTATTAAATCTCTTAAATTTGGTAAACAAACTCGGTTTGCACTAATTCGTTAAAGAATCCTCGCGCAATATGGATTTTCTTGATCTCGTTTTTTTAATGATAGTTCTAATAGTGATATATCTGTTGAGTGTCCTTTTAGCACTAGTGACCATAACACAGTCCATTGTTCTATTAATACGAACGATTTCAACCGATGTGAAAATAAACCAGAATCTTTTTATGACTTTTCTAATCCTGATTTTAAGAGCCTTGAGTTATATTTATCAAAAATAAATTGGGATTTTGAGTTTTCTTATGCCTGTACAATCGAGGATTACTGGAGCATTTTTTCTAAGAATTTTTGTACTAGTATTAATGAATTTTTACCTATCAGAAAAAAGTATTATAACAAAGCAAGTAATCACTATCCAAAATACATTTAAAAATCTTAAGCCGCAAAGTATTATTATGAAAAAGATGAAAAAAGAATAAAGCAATTTACAGGGATTATTTTTTTCCGGATATTTCCAGAATTCCGGATATTTTTCTCAACTTTTTAGTTTTTCCGGATATCCAAAATGTTTTCCATACTTACAAGTTTAGGTACATATTTTTGTAATATATATTTTTTTTAACCTTTTTTACTTATTGCTCATACAAGAAATATGAGCTAATAATTTTACTCATTGCTCATACAAGAAATATTCTCAAAAATTAATGAAAAAAAAAAAAAAAATTGGTAGCAACTCAGCTAAAATCAAAATCAAGGGGAATGTAAAGGAAAATGTATTCCGGATTTTTTAAGGATATTTTACCGAAACAATTTCCGGATTTTTAAAATACGACCAGGATGATCTATGCATTTATAACAAATCAGCTTACAAACAGTTCGCCAGAAATAGCAAACAAATATACCAATCGAAATTTGAATTACACCTAATAGAGAAATAGCATCAGTAAGTTTTATGAGTATGTTAATAATAAAATGAATATCCTTAATAAGCATCTCCATCTAATAGACAAAAATAACAAAAACAAGGTCACTTTCAATAATATATATATATATTGCTAACGTGTTTAATAATCACTTTGGAAGTGTTTTTCTGGAAGATGATTGCTGTCGTCCTAATATTGTCAATTATGTTAATGATTTAATAAGTATTGATACGGTTCATTTCTCCGTGGAGTCAGTGTATAAGACCCTAATGGGAATTAATCCTAGTATATTTGTAATGGGAATTAATCCTAGTATGTTTGTAATGGGAATTATTCCTAGTATCTTATCCTTATGGTTTATCTTATGCAAATCTTGAAAGGTTCTCAGTCAGCACAAAGACGTCTAAAAAAGGTCTTTAAGTCGGCCTAAAAGGCGCACTTAAAGTCGTCTAGATCATAAGGCTAAAAGAGTTCTTTTTTAATGACGCCATTAAGACATATTTGCAAATACATCTTTTGAACGCCTTGATAAAGACGTCTTTTAATAGTCTTTTTAAAGACGCCTTTCAGCCTTATGATCTAGACGTTTACAAATACTTCATTTAGACTTTTAAAATTAAACGTCTTTTATACGTTTTTCAGACGTAATAAAGACGCGTACTAAAGACATGTTTAATAAAGTCTATATTTAAAAATACATATGCAATAATATCTACTTCACGAAGTTGATATATCAACTTCATGAGCTAGATATTATATATTTAGACATTTTGACATATATTTGACATTATATATAGACATATAATAAATGTATTAAACGTCAAGACATAGACGTTTCACATTTTTTTGCAATT